GAAGGTCATGAAGTCTGGACAAAAGTTGGCCCAGTTGGAAAAGAGCACAAAATACTGAGGGAGATGAAATAGGGTCCATCTCCTAACTGGGTGTCTGAATCCTGCAATGGAGAGATCTGTAACTGCTCAATGGCGCAGACAAAATAAGTGTGGAGTGCAAATGGCTCATGAGCACATCAGGATAAAGCCATCACCATAAAGTATCAGTTCCTGCTGTAGCCATTTGCCCTGCTAGCAGATTCTTCTAATGACTATTGTGCCATGCTATTTAGGCAGGGGTGATGAAAGATGGTTCTGCCACTGCCTTTTTGCAACCTAGTCTACAGACTATGCTCCAGAAGCATCAATCCATTTTGATACTCTTCCACTTACTTACATGGAGGTGGGGGGAAGAAGTGGATTAGTGGAAGAGGGATAGGTCTGCTCTGACATCTCTGGCATATCACTTAGAACACATATGAGGCAGAGGTCAACTTCAGTCTTCCCTATCCAATGCCAAGTGCTCTGTGCTCTACTGCAAACTATTGGTCTTAGACTCATTCTGCTAATTTTAATGGCCTTCCTTTTTCAGTCAAGTAAAAAAAAGAGGTTTTGGCTAGTAAGCCTCAGTGATTACAGAATCAAAGCTATTAACAGCTTTTCCTGTGCAGTGTAAAAGTAATGACAAAAGAGCAAAGTTACCATGACTCCCTTTCCCCCTAACTCTTCCCTCCTCCAAATGTGATTCACAGAAAGACAGTAGAAGCATATAAGTTATGCATTGCATGGAAAGGGATCTCAGAAGAAAAATATGACTTACTGCACAAAAAGAACAACAGCCGTGTGTACTACATCCCCTCCAGAAACAAACTGAGCCACACTTAACCAAACAATCAAATTAGAAGGTTAGAGTATTGCTCTTTTAAAAAGCATGCAGACTGGAAGCATATGAAGATACACACACAAGAGGACACACAAAAATGAGCTGCCTTTTCTTTTACCAATCAAATGGAAAACTTGTCTTTAAACCAGGTGGATATTACAACCTAGGGTTTAAAAATAAATGAATATGTAACCCACCTAAAATGACAATCAATATTAAACAAATGGACTTAACTGTTAAAAAAAAGCTGTTTGAAAAAGTGCTTTATACTCTGCCTGCACTAGTCATTGCTGCAGCTTATTGACCTTTTACAGACAACACATACTTCCGTTTGCCTGGCAATTTCTCCTGGAAAGCCTAACCCTGTGTGCTACCCATCTGCATGAGACACTGAGTAACAAGCAGTGCTTTCTATGATCTAGTTTGACATATATATAACATTCTCATTAGCTAGATTGCCCAAACCTTTTTTTTATGCATTCTCTCTGTAGTAAAGATTATGTCATTGTTTGACCAGATAGAGAACAACATGAAAAAGTTAAAGAACCTGTAAAGCTCTTCATAAGACAACAGTTTAAGTATATGCTGTATCTCATCTCAGGTAACTTGGAGCCTTCAAGTACCATATTTTCATTTGTGGTGAAGAACAATAACAGGACAAAATTCATCCCAGATGCAAGATGATCCATTAACACAGTGCTCATTAAATTATAAGTCTAATATTGTATCTGCTTGAAGTTACACATTTGAAGAGCCTAAGCCACAGTTTGACATGACGAAGTTGTTTAACATTCATCTGTGTATCAACCTCAGTATATTAATGCTGATTTACTACATCTTACAGCAACAAACAAATTCTAAAACCAGGTTGGAATCCCAGATCTATTGAATGTAATGCTGGACTGATAAAAACACCTTTAAAGATTGAAGAAAAAGGAACCACTTCAAAAAATAAAGATTGGATCTTAAATGGCAAGGAGAATGGATCCAGCATATCCCGAATAGTACCATTGGTTCTAACTTCTTTATAGGTGTTAGCACTGGCTAGTGTGCAGGGCACAACTTTAAACTCACTTTTGTACAACAGACCTTCTCAAATAAATTTGAGGGTATGGGGTGCTTGTGGGTTTTTTGTTGTTGTTTTCAACTTTTAACATTGGTATAAGAGATGATACAACTCAAAATGAAGCATATTAAAATTGAATTTATGCCCCATAGCTTCCATTAATTTTTCATTCTGAGAAATCTTGATTCCTGCAGCGTAAAGAACGTCTGAAACAGAGTTACACAACAGCTAAAAATGAAAGTCGTATCATCTCAACTAAGGATTTAAATCTTTGCCTTGTTACACAATACCAGTGAATGTAGAAATACGTCTATTGGTGTTTGACTTGCATCTCTGGAACCTGTGCTTCTCCTTCACCTTCACCTGTTGCATCTGATTTGGAAAGCTTAATGGCCCAGTGCTGGGGCAAAAAAATTAAAAGCAAAAACATATTGGCACACAAAACTTTCCTGAGTACTGATAAGACTGGACAACTTTGCAAAGTTTACCCTAGCAATAAAAAGAAGTGAATACCAGCAATGCCATTTATCTATCTCAGAGGCACTGAAATATTCTGCACCAAGCACATGGAAACACAAATTTTCCAGTGTGAATGCCTGAACTGCTGAACAGAAATGGAAAGACAAAATATATTCAGTAAGTCCTCCTTTTGCTACTGTTTCCATTGTGTAAATCTAAATCTGTTTTACTGACTTCAATATTCCATATTTACATCAGTAGGTGACCACAATTTGCTCATAAAATAGAAATAGCTATCTACTAAATTAATACAATTGGACTCCTGTGGCCAAAAAAAAAAACAAAACAAAAAAAAACAACCTCTACCAAAGAGCCTGATGCATTTCTAAATAATAGCAAGGCTTCAGGTTACACAGAAGTTATCTCCCCCCTGCCAGTACTTGCACTAAGATCCAGTCTAAAGAACATTTAATTCAATTAACATGCAAGTGCCTGCATTTCCATTGGACTCGGGTATAATAGCAACCATATCTAACAGATAGGAAGAGGAAGGAAGCCTTCTCCTTCTATACAACCCATACTTCTCCCTTCATGCAAGCAGGAGTAGAACTATGTCTTCAATTTCCTGATACATTGCAAACATGACAAAAATCCCAAACAAACAAACAAAAAGGATGATATACGCACTTTTTGAAGATCCTGGCTGAAGCCCGGTTGTGTTCCAGGAGTCCATGTGACTTACCTCTCTGCACCATTTTGAAACGTACATCCTCAAGTGAGCAGTTATAAATCACCAGTCAGGCCTGACATTGGAAAGCTGACTATTGTGTCACCCACTTCACCCTCACTCATAACAAACTCCCATCTCTGCTCTGCATGGTTTCCAGCTGCCAGTTCTAAAAGCAGCAAGGAATCCCAAGTTACAGATACAGGAACTTGGCTTTCTGACACTTCAGAGACTGCTTCAAGTCATTAGCAATGGCATAACAAGGGCACTGCAACATTCTGGAGCTGTGAAACCCAACACATTAGAAACAAAACTGACAGTATCGACAATCTCTTCAGAGATTTCCTGAGCATGTACTTAAATGCAGCCCAACAGGATTGAAAGTAACATTTCCTTTACATAACAGGTTTATTATATGCTGTGCTATTTGGTCTAAAAAGAATGACTGAACAAGTAGTGTGAGAACGGGAAACTGGGTGTCCAACTGACAAAAGCAAACCAAAACAGAAGTGCAGAAAATTGGAGCCAAATGATGAAACGTTTCTTCTGCGCCCAAAGGGGTCACTCTGGATTCCAAAACAACCCAAAACCAGATGTGGCATTACCAGCCTTTAAATCTGTGTTCGCAGTACTCTTCTTATACGGTCCCTGTCAAAGTATGAATGCTGACAGACCTTTCCAGTATCTGTTTGTGAGAACTATGCTGGGAGAAAGAGGACATCAATGCAGGTAACACCACATTTTGTGAATGACTTGGAAAAACAGGCTTTTTGGCCTTCAGCAGAAACAGACTGTCACCATGTCAAACAGCTTGTCATATGCACTATCAGTTCAGCCACATCTTAAACTTCTAGGGGAAGGGTTGCAGATATGACAGTGCTGTGGCACCAATATTGTGCAGACCTTGCCTCATAAAGTCTACCACAAATACCCTTAATGAAAAGCAGCAGCTCGAGGGATGCAGGAGGTCAGAATGAACTATAAGTCTTTTCTGTCTAAAAATATACAGACGTAGTAACCAAATTCTTGAAGCCTACTGTTACACTTCCTACAGTACTCATAACTGCCTCAGAATGGGGAGGGAGAAGGGGACTAAGTGTTGCCTTAAATAATTAAAGTGGGGAAAGTAGAGCTGAACTGATTTGCTCCCTGCAGGCAGCATCAAAGGCCATATCAGGATGAGCAGAGGGAATGTCTGAAAGCTGATTATTTGTTCCCTAAAGGAAGACTTCAGGTTTTTGTTCAATTATTTTATCAGAGGTCTTATTAATAATTGACCAAGAACATCCAATGTTTTGAGATGAAGCAAATCAGTATGCCAAGAAGCACAGTACGGTTGCTGTATGCTTTATTGACCAGTTTTAACTGAACATTCTAGTAAACAGTACCCAGTTTTTCATCTTAGCAAACAGCTAGTGACTCAGTAGAAGACAACCTAGAAAACCACTCGGAAGTTTTACCTGAATTCCATGTCTTTGTCACCAAGGTTTGCATGAAAATCTCAAAGCATAATTCAGTACACAAAACCTAGCCATTTTCTACCTATGAAATGTTTCACACGATATATACAAGTCATTCCGGGTTTAGAGAAAACAGGAATTCTGTTAACATCAATTACCATCACTGGTCTGCTTGTGTTAGCTCTTAAAAAGAAGTAAAAACAATAAAAAAAAAACACCAACACATACTGAATTGCACATTTTCATTTCAACAAGGAGAAAAAATAACCTGCTGTATACGCTTCTAAGAAACTTTCCAGGAAATCAAGTGTGGCTTTGACACTAGGAAAGTTGTACTTCAATTGAAAGTAAAACTAATTATGCGTTCTCTGTGCTCTCACCCATCAGAATTCATAGCTCATCAATACAATGGAAAAGCCTACTTACGGTCATTACACTGGCTCCCAGAATATGAAGTCATAGAGCAATCGCAGGTGAAGCCTTCCCATTGCTGATTACAGATGCCTTGATTTGCACAGGAATCTTCCTGGCAGGTAGTGCTCGGTCCTGGAGAAGGGATGACAAGAAAAGGGTGAAACAAAGCTGAGAGAATCATTTTATTCAGGCCCACAAAAGCTCCAATTCATTGTTGCCATTATTATCAGGATCCTCATGCAGAAGAGAAAAAAACACTAACCAAACATTTTCCTATTCTTGGACATGCAAGAAACTCAGGTAAAAAGAGCACAACGACAACTGTACACAACAAAACACCAAACTAACACAGAGCAAGGAGTGAACATCAACATATTCCCCCTTAGGCAGGTCCAACTTGAATGTTCAGTGCTTGCTCAAATAGATTTACTGTAGAATATGGTGTGATGCAAGGATAACAAACACTGCCAGGTTGTCATGTTTCCTTGGAAGTTTGATCCCCTTGCAGAAATGAAGGCTAAGAAATGGGCCCAAAAACAATGCTTCATCCTACCCAAAGAACCCTGATATGTGGATTCAAACTAAAGTTTTGAACCCTCAGTTGGCTACAACTTTGCTTTACAGGTTAAGGAAAAACAAACCAAGCAACCTGGAGACTGAACATGCCAACAAAGTCCTCAGAAGGGAATGACATTAGTCCATGACACCTCTCTATTCAGGACTTTATTCGTTTCCATGGCCTTTGCGGGAAGCAAAGGAAGAAGTAGCCACTACTAACAGAAGAGCCTCTGTTCTGCGATTTTGAGCTAACAGTTGCTATCCTACTCACATAAACTTGCAAAGACACAACCCAAGCAACAGGCAAAAAAATGATCTTCAAATCAGAGGGATTCTGATTGACATCTAGTATATTATCCACAAGGAGGTAGCTGGATTCTGAATCACTTAAGAGCAGACATGAAGCTGCAAGCCATAGAACACAAATTTAGAAGTTAATTCCTGTGAAAGAATTTTGTCTTCACCATTCTAGACAAAGGTGTGCTCTTCCTATTGTGCACTACTTCAAATAAAATGTACAACTATAGTAAACATATCTACTATTCTATATCCTGTAACTCTTCGAAAAGAGCAAATAAAAGAAATAGAGTAGATGATAGAGGATCAACAGGCTAGGCTGCCTGAGGTCAGTTTGTTAACCACTTCCAGTCTAAGACAATACCATGAGGATAAAGAAACAACTATTCTACCAGCATCTTATGTCACGTAATCATAACAGCAGTTATATGAAGCTCATCTTATCCTTCATCCTTACCTTTTCATCACATTAGCTCCACCATCTGTACTTTATAGATGGGATAGGGCACACCAAAGTGGAGACAGCATTTTCAAATGTTTTAATCCAAATTGAAACTCCTCAACCTTCACCTGAGACCACCCACAGTGGTTTCACTGAATTCCATAATTATACAACATCTTTGATATTCAGATTGTGAATCTGGGCATTTCCATATTTACAAATGCACAATCTGAATATCAAAATTGTTTTGTAGAACCCGCATCTAACTGGAAGTCCCATGTCATGCCATGATCCTCCCAACAATTCAAGAACAGAGTCTTGGTGCAGAGTTCCCCCTTTTCCCACTAGATCATCTTTCCCTGCTTCAAGATGGGTGAATTTCAGTAGCTTTTTAGCTATCTGTGTTTCTTTAGATCTCTCTTGCAATGAGAAGGAACATGTGACTATCAGTAGGCAAAGAGTTTAACTAAACACTAAGAAAAACCTGAATTTCTTCCACAGTCTGTTATACCGTTTAAAAAAAAAAAAAAAGAAAAAAAAGAAAGAAACACCAAACCTCTAGGAAGAAGCATCAGTGCAGATAATAAAAGCAGACAACAAACTTCCTGAAAGAAAATTCACCCATTGAAAAGAGATGGCAGCAGCAGCAGCATTTTGCAACATTTTTTCCTTCCCTTTGCTTATTCTTCCCACCCACCTGACTCTTATTTGCAGCTGTATGAATCCCAGTGGTCTCCCTGGCACAGTGTGAAGTTAATAGATCACTTCTGAGATTACAACGGTGCTGACAGACTTCACAGCGTGGGCTAGTAGGCACATGTATGTACAGACTTCCCTCCTGCCGTTACACTCCTTTACACTTCCAAAACACACAAATATACCTATATAGATACATATGTACCAGGCTGGGGTCTGACACTCAGTTTAGACTTACTCTAGTGCAGCAAAAAAAGGGATGAAATTTAACAATCTGCAACAGAATACTAGTTGTCATTTTGCCTAACATGTCTGCGTTATCTGAGGATAAGGAATAAGGAACCAATACATCTCCTGTACCTTATTATTCCATTATCTAACCTCTGACCCTAAACATGAATGTCATTATTCCTAGAGGTATAACTAAGCATGTTATATATATTTAAAAAATAAAACCAGAAAGTAATTGTGACTCTACACAAACTTGCTACAGCATCAACTGTAAAAACTATTACATAGAAGCAAAGCAGAAGAGCATTTTCAATGCTATTTCCCCTTTCTTCCTACACTCTTCCAAAAGTGCTTTAATCAGTAACTGGACTTGACAAGGGGCATCATCTAATGAGGATATCCTTTGTCTAGGTGTTCATGAGAAAGGGTCAGTACCCTACTCAAGGCATAATTCATGAGGCCTAGTATCTGTGGATTGAGGTGCTTGTAGTGAGAGTCTAGAGAGCCAAAAGACTTGAATTCATGACCAGTATTGTGGTTTCTGAATTGTATCTTACAGAACTTGACAGTGAAGATGGCAACAGTACATTCAAAACAGCCAGAAGGGAAGAAAAACAAGAGAGGGGGAAAAAAAAAACAACCAAAAAAAACTAAGCAAACAAAAACCACAAAAAGTAGAAACTTTGAAAGCCTAACAATAGCATAAGGAAGCTCAAAGCCCGATCTGCCATCTTTAGAGCCAGTTATGACAGCACAACATAGATACTGGGTATTATGCTTTGCCTCACTCCTTAGTACTATGGGCCATTTGCACGTTAAAAGGATCTTTGTCTCTCAGAGTTCATCTGCTCCTGCTGCTTAGAGTCATCATAATCCTCCATCTGTGGCAACAGAATTTTGTTCAGAGCAACTAACAGGAATGTCACAGGGGATTAGGATTTTGGATTAGAGAGCAAAGTGACAGAAGCACAGGAAGGCTTATAAAGCATGAAGATTGTGCTACCATGCACATGCCCTTTAGTGCTAACAAACAAGGAAAGAGAAGATGACAAACAATTCATACATACAGCAGTGGAATTGGTTCTAAATTACCAGTGCCATCAGGGCTCAGGTCTATTTTTAATCTCATTCCTTTGGCAACACTTACAGCAGCCGAAATATTTAAAAGCAAAGTTTCAGAACTAGTCTTCACATAATAACCTGAAATACGTCTGATAAATCAAATTGTACTTTAATTAACAAAATATGCATGCTGATTTTAATTTTCTTGTTAAAACTCCAACACCCTGATAACACTTGCTATTTCCATTGAGTGCATTTTCAAAGGCCTTGTTTTTGTTGTCTGTTGGTAGCTGGGCTTGGCACATTGTCTTCTTCATGCCACATACAAAGTGGAAAGGGGGAGTGAATGGGCACTAGATACAGAATGAAAGTGGAGAAGTCCCCAGTGCAGAAAAGCATTCCTACTAGCAGAAGTGTGACTTGCTGTCTCCTCCTTTACAGACTAAGTCTAACAACAGAGGCAGGTCATTTGGAATATGAAATGGCAAAGCATAATTCTTCAACAATGTCCATTTGATCTTTATTTCTGCATCTGTAATTTCTCCTGGAACAGCTCAGTATCTAAGGACTTGAAAGATCTAAGATATTGTTGGGTCTCCCTCCTGGGACAGAGTCCAGTATTACACTTTTCCTCCAAGTTGCCTAGCTAAATATATGGTTTATTAGTCTTACCACTAGGTATTTGAAGAAAATCATCTTAGAAGAGTACAGTAGCCAGATCCATATTCTGCTCGGAAAAATTACTTTGTCTCCCTAACTCTTTCCTGCAATTTCAGCTGTATGGTATGTTTCTCTTTGCCCTGAAAAGAAAATATTTGAATTCTACTGCTGCGCATTGCTAAAACTGCCATGTTTCATCCTGCAGGTGGGCCCTTTTCACTGGCAAGAGAAGTCATTCCTGCTGTGTCATTTAAAAGCTCTTTGCAGAGAATGGAACTTTAGGAATAAGAGACAGTATTGTTTTTATTATTCTTCCAAGTTACATGAGGAATCAGTTTATACAACAACTGCAGGATTACAACATAACGACCTTGTGCTTTGATCCTAACCAGCGATAAGCATTAAGCTAAGCAAACCATTCATGGTCCTGCACATAACACCTTCCTTCACACATTCAAAATTTACTACTACTGAAAGGAATTATACATTTGTGTTGCCATTATTTTCTCAGTAAAATGAAGATCTGCAGCAGATAAGGTTCAATGGCACTATGGATTCATTTTCACTCTCTATCTCCACAGACGCTCCCGTTTTTCATCCTTGTACTTTCAAAGAGGTTAGGAAGAGAAAGGAAAGTAATACACACAAGACACCTTTACTGTCTGTGTAGAATAAGGTGCTTTTTTTGTTCTATAGTTCCTAAATTGTAAATGCCATCAAAGCACTAAATACCTCTCTACCACTGCCAGACTCACATTATGATAGGCAATTTATACCTAGGATAAATCTACAGTCTACTTCTGTCAGCACTCCTCTTTCATAACCAGCAATACTTTTTTTTTTTTCTTTTTGGGGGGGGGGAGGGTGCGGGGAGAGGTTTTTTGTTTGGTTGTTTTGTTTTTTATTCGTTTGGTTGGGTTTTTTTGTTTTTTAATTCAATGTTCAGGCCCAGTACAGCTCAGAGAGGCATCAGGTCTTGGAAACCATATGCACTAGGCAGAATATAAACCTGTTCTAGGACCCACTCACTCCAGGACTCACTCACTGTAAAGGGTAAAGAGGAAATGAAGTTAATACAGCCAAGTTTTCCAATTTTAGAATAATTTTGAATTTATTATTTTTCTAAGTAACAAGTGAGCAAAATTGAGACTGAGTCTCATGGAACCATCACTGTACTGGATGGACCATATGTCTCACGCTGTAACTGTCAAATACCAATGGTAGCATGTTGACACCCACTGTGCACAATATAAGAAACTAAAGTATAGTCAAGGTTCAGTGCATGATTCAGAAAGTTAGATCCTGACTTTTGAGTCACAGATAGTAGAAAGCAGAAATATCACAGAGTAACTTTTACTTAGCAAACCAGAACCTAAAAAAACAAAAGGGATTTTCAAGGACTGCAAAGCCAGCTCTTCAAGCTCTCTCAATTCCAGATTTTGTTAAGAACTCACCATCCCTTTCGTCATCTAAATAAGTTTAGACATCTGGCAGGTTCCATAAAGTTACCCATTGTCAGAAATAACTTAAAAGCGAGCATTCTGTAGTCCTCTGAAAATGCAGCTGTTTATTCTGGTGCCTCAACAGAGCCTGAACTCTTTTTTCACCTGATGACAGTTATGACCCAGAGTTCCAAATACCTGGCTGGCCTAAAAACTTCAGGGAGTGGGAATAATTAAAATAATAAATATGCAAGTCTCCTACAAAAAAAGAAAACACAAAAAAAAAAACACAAAAAAACCCAAAAAACACACAAATTAAAAAAAAAACCACAAAACCCCCCCCACCAAGCATTTACCTCAAGGTGACAGGAGAAGGGAATCAGCAGCAGTGGCAATTCACAGATCTACTAGGTGGTGGGGATTTTTTCCTCCATGAAGCCTGACATATACCCATCTTCCTCCCTCTCTTCACCCTGCCACTCTCCATCTCTAAGCAACATCAAAGGTCTTGAGCTAAGTGCCCAAACACGTACCCAAGCCGAATAAAACCCCAACTTTAAAACAAAAAGTCAACTGCATAAAAGGGAGTATGCCTGGACCTGAGGTGGGACAGGGAGAAGATGCAAATGAAGTTGAAGAAGTAAACAGTATTCAGACATTCAGACACAGAAACTAAAAGCAGAAAGGAAAAACTGAAAGGGCTGTATGTGAACAAGAAAAATACCATCAACCGGAAAAATGTCCTTCCCCAGTGCAAATCACAACAGCACAGAAGTACCCGGCCTCACGGCCTATTCTGAAACCTATTTAGCAAAGGTTGGTTTCTTGAAAAGCCAATAAGCCACATTATGCACTCAAGACAAACATTTCCCTTTAGGATTCAATGTGATCAGGTGTCTCCATGTCAATGGCAAATATTCCTTCAGGGCTAAAACCTCTGTAACAATATGAGCTTGAGCTGGAATAATTTTCACAGCTGCAGCAAGCCTTTAAGTTCTGAGGAAAAATCAAAACAGCAAACAAATTTGTTTCTTCCAGGACCTCGTCATGCTGCATCCACTTCAATGGCCGTCACAAAATCAAGCAGGAGCTTCTGGTCATGTATTCTGAATTCCAATGGACAAACAAGTGACCAGAGAGAACAACAGCAGCTGTGGCCAGAGACAAATGCTACTTGCTGATGTCTAATGCAACTCCCAAATTCCCTGCTCCAGTTTTAATGGATGGTACAGAACACCTTAATCCTAAAGCTATTTACACCCCAGCATACTCCAGGGTGCTTTTTCTCCTCACATTGGTACCAGTCCGCATATCCTTCCTAGTCTTTCAAATCTCATCCTCTACCACTTTTGTTTACCTAAACTTCAGAAATCCCCTAGAGGTAGCACCTGATATTTTCTAAATCCCTAACCTCTGGAAACCAGAGTATTTCAACTTTTTACAGCTGGAAATAGGCCAGAGACGCCAACAAATGTGGATGCAGTCAGATGTTCCACACGCATAGAGCACAAAACATGATACTAACTTTTGTCTACCTGTTAAAATCTTTCAGCTTCTATGTTTCATATACATCCAATGGCTAAAATTATCTCAGGCCATCAGTATCTTTACCTGCTGGGTAAGGGGGTGCCTCCTAATATGCTTCTGTTCATTAACAACTGCTAATGTAATTGTACTATTAAGCCTTCCTTCGTTACATGTCTCCTAAGAATCAGCCTTCCTTATACTGGCAGAACACTGGAACAGGCTGCCTACGGGGGATCCTGGAATCTCCCTCTCTGGCAACATTCAAAATCCACTTGGATGCATTCCTTTGTAACCTGCTCTAGGTGTCTCTGCCTTGAGCAGGGAGGGTGGACTAGATGATCTCCAAAGATCCCTTCCAACCCTAACAATTCTGTGATACTGGTTTTCTGCCAGCACTCTTTACCCCATCATCGTCTCTGTAATCCAAGTGGCATGTTCTCAATTACTATCTGGCCTCTCCTTCTTTAGCCATCTTCTTTCGTTTCTACCAATTCCATAGACCACCCTACCCTTCCCCACCTTTCCTGCTGAAGCTACTCTCAATCTCTTGAATGGCTTTCACTTGAATAGCTTCAGTATTTTACTGTGTTCCACATAGCCCTTTTGGCAATCACAAAAATCACTGGTTAATCCCTTTTGACTTAGCAATCAATAGTAATAATAGTCAGAATTTCGCATGAGGATCAACATCATGAAAAACCCCTATCTGCTTTATAAAAAAATCAGACTATCCACTACGAGGTTCTAAAAAAGACCTCTGAGAGGTACAAAAATTAGCAGGTACAAAAGGACCAGGCATGATTACTCATATGTTTGATCAATTATGGCTTGTAAAATGTCGTCTAACTACTAAGGAAATTTGTAGTTAAGAGGTTCTTTGATTTAATTTTTAACTGAAATTCCAGAAAGTTATTTCTGAGGGGTTTTATTTTTTTCAAAGTTAAAAAACTAGCTTTTATCTCCTGGTCTCACTCCTTAAGATCAGTACTGAAAAATCCAAGTCAGCATTTTGTTTTGTAAAGCTCTGAGGGCATTCTATGTCTCTATTAACAGCAGCTACTTGCCTGAACAATCATTAGGCATTTCAGGAAATCAACCTGTGCTCTTATGGATGATTCAGAGACTGATACAGCCAAACCCCTGAGGTTAACAAAAACACCTCAATTTTTTGCCATGTCGTTCTTTAACCCAGATAGCCCCTCAGAGTGGCTGGTGTTTATCATTCTGTTCCTGTCTCAGAGGTGTGACTGCATCCAGTAAAAGGCACCAAGTGTTACATAAAAGCATCTTTTAGTTCAAATCAGTAATGGGGAAGAACAACCTTCTCTACCTTGCAGGTCAGCTTTGGTCAACTCAACTTTGTTAGCAAAAAATCAAAAACAAAACAAAAAAGCAAAAAATTATAACAGGTTAGTGTAAAGGCAGATAAACAAGGGTCACATCACTTTAAATAAATTAAAGGAATTGGTATAACCACCACAGCAAATGTACATAATCATTACATGCAGGGACGACAACATAAGCAACAAGGACAAAAAGGAACGCGGTTACTTTAACCCAACCAAGCAACAGATAACAAAACCACAGATGAGAGAGTAAATACGTTTTATTCACACACATACACACACACACACACACACACACACACACACACATACACACAAACACACAAGGTCACAGAATTTACAGATAATAGAAAGAAAAAAAATCACATTCTTAACAGTCATCTTTCAGCATTTACCAATATTTTAAGACAGATTTTGTCCCATTTGAGAAATACTTAGAATCCATTTAAGTAAAAAAATCAATTTGACTTTCAGTACATTAGTCAAGAATTTTTTTAGTTTTGTTTTACTTTGAGGCTCTAGATCTGAACTTAGACCTTCTGTCTCTCATAAAAGCACAGACTGCCCTGGGTTTTTGTCCAAAGTGGATTTATTGCCAGAAAACCGTAAGAGACTAATAATTCTGGAAGATGACAACCTCAGTTTATCCCAAGAACTGAACTTGACACTGTGACAAAGTGACAGTAAAATCTTGCTCTCTCACAAGCTGTTGCCTGCTCATGGATTTCAACACATCCTTAGGAAAGCTTGCATCAACAGGCAAAGAGCTCAGGCTTTAGACCCAAATAATGCATCTCATTAGAGCAGTCAAAAAAAATGACAGTAGTACAAACTCATTCTTTTACCTAGGTGGGAATAATCTTATCTGCAGTCAAATCATAGCCCACATGGCAAAAGAGAATCGTAAATCTACCAAGTCTGACTGCCTAAAGATTCAAGCACGCTTTCTGAAAAAGCAGAGCATAAAAAAGGCAAACCAAAACAAAATCACCGATCCTCTTTCATTTAGGCATGGGATTTTTTTTATTTTTTTTTAATGGAGTCCAGTTCACAAGGAAGCCACATAGATTTTTGATGTGTTATAACTTGATTCTAAGTTTTCTCTTTCAGCATGGAAAAAACAGAGGACAAAGATGGGAGTACAGGCAGCAGCTCCTGAATTCCTTGCCCCTGAAGGTTACAAATTTCTATCATACAGCACAATGAGAAAAACAAAACACCAAATCACTGACCCCATTGCTCAAACGATGGGTACTTGAGAAGTGCATACTCACCTTTATAACCTTCCATCCTTAAAAAGTGCTAATATCACAGATGATATTGAAGACAGAGTGATAGCTCTCCCTTTTTCCCATTGTCTCCTTTTACATTTGCAATCTGATAAATTAGAACTGGCATGTACAGATACCATTCCCTGTGATTCCTATGAATCTTAACATTTTGAAACTTTGCTATAGTTTTACAGCTCAGAAATTACTCAAGATGGCAATTACCTTCCCTTTTCAGCTAGTCAGATTTTTCTTCCCACTTATCAAACTTCTCTACTACTATAAAGCCATAAAATCCCCTGAGTTCTCTAAACGCAATGAAAAAGAAAGGGGGGGGGGAGGAGTGGAAAGAGGAGGAGAATGCATTTCTTCATGAATCTCCTTTGACACATATTCTAACAAAGTAATTTCTATGTAACAAACAAGAACTTTCCATAGCTGCCCAAGTCCTCATCATCTCTGTAGCCGAGCTGAAGCAAACCTTTATTTGTTGTTCCATAAATGCAGTAGCACTGTGACAACAGAATACAAAAGCCTAAAGAACAGGAGAGCTGTCAAGCCACCATGGCGTAAATTAACTCTCCTCTCCTCTATGGACAACCTTTGATTCTACTGAGAAAGTGAAGTATTGCCAGATCTGAAGTTTCACTACTTAGCAGATGAAGGGTGTCATCCTTTCTGACCTTACCCTGCTGTGAGATTTTAAGCATGAGATTAGATTTTCTTTTTTTCTACATACTGCTTAGTATGCAAAATGAGTTTCTGATTATCCAGCCTGTATGTGTCCGTCATGCTTTTCACGCATCAGCGAATTCCAAAGGTTAACTATACTATTTCATGGTAAGTAGCACAAGATTATGATTTTCCTGCAGGATCTGGACAAAGATTCAGTTAGGACAAAAAAAGTTCCAAAACATCTGGAACAGTATCAGTCAGTTTAGTAATAGTCACTCTCCTTTGTCATAAGCTATTATCAGTGGAACAGGTGAGGAAAAGGGAAGAGCAAAAGCTGATGCCACATCTCTAAAGCATATAGAAGACTGCCTTGTAGAAGAAATGCAGTGTTCTTTAACCACTGCTGTTAGGTTTGGTCGGCTGGTGGCAAAATGGGGTGAATGTATTTAGAACACGCAGCTGAATTTCATATATCTCTGGTGCCCATGGTAAGCAACATAAGGATGACCAAATAAAGGAAACAAAAACACAGGAGAACAAATGGCAAATCAATAAAGAGGTGAAAAAACACCTCAGATGCAGGAAGTACTCAATATTTAGGCAACATCTTTGGCCTCCACAAAAGGTTGGACATCTGCCAAAGTAGGTGGCAGACTTGCCTGCAAGCTTCCAGTAGAAGTGGGCCCCCACCATGAACTCTGAGAACTGACTTCACCTCTTCAGAATGCTCGGTACACTGACCAGACTGGTCAGGACACAAGGATCATTTAAGTCTTAACTACTTCCCTACGTTTTGTGCTTTTTCTTTCAGGCCCTCTCACCAAACCTTTTTTTGGGTGCTGGTAGGGGGTAGGCCCTACTCTTTTTATCTTTAGGCATAAGAGCTAGAAATACTCTGTGAAACATGAATAAATGTTTTGGTATAATGTCTTTACCATGAAACCTCATGGTTCTCATAGTTCCTTTTAGCACGTCAACACCTAGAACAAATTTCACACACCAGGCAGCCAGAAGATTTCTGGCTTTGCCGAATACCTTCAAGGGAAACAAAAGCTGCCACTTCAGATCTGAGCAGACCTTCAAGTCAATGAAAAACTGCTTGTTTCCAAAAACTCAGAAATGCAGCAATAAAAATACATAAGACCACACAAAAAAGAAGGGGTGTGTGGTGTGGAACTTTAACTCCATGGGCTCATTTGACATTTCAGACACTTCTGGGTTCTCTTCTTCCAGAAAATAAGCCACAAAAGTCTTTGCCAAATGCTACAGGACACATCAAAACAGAAAACAGTCAGTGTGGCAGCTATCATCCTGTCAAGCACACTGGTTAGTCTACTGATAGGTCTTCTGAAGGAGAAGAGCTAGTACAGAACACGCAGGCTACACAGATAACAGATTAAGCTAATTTTAAACAGAAGAATTACCAGAAATCTCTAATATTAAAGAAGGACTTTGAGCGCACCGAGGACAATCAAAAAAGACACTTTCAGAAAAACCCAAAAGCAATTTTTCTCTTCTTGAACTTTGTGAGCAACACACAAAAGGTGTAATTTGGGCATTTTGGCTGTGCCACAAATGGGCAAAGTCACAGGTTTGACTACACTACGCTCAGTTCCACAATGAACAGTGTGGTTAACAGACCTGATTAAATACATCAGAAAGACAGAAAAAAAAAGAACAGCCTCTCACCCAACCAGAACACTGGGAGACAAGGAGTATAATGTAAGGACTTAATTGGACTGCCAATTAGGTGTTTCATGAATACTCAAAGAAAGCTCTAAGATAACACTTTCAATCCTAAGAAGGGACAGTCTAGACAAGTTGCAAGGTTTCAGCATGATTAACCTGTAATCTTGACACGGTAGGGAAATACAATCAAGAAGTAATTTCACCTGGCAAAGTTCTGTCTGGAAGAATCAGTTTAGGACATACATCTTCTTAGCAAACATGCATGCCAGACAACTTTACTGAGAAAACTATCATCCTCTAGTGACTGGTAGCCAATACAGAAGACTGGTATTCAGTGGAGCTAGACATAATGGTGATTTTCACTTCACTTCACAAGGCCAGCAAAGCCTTGGGTGTTTTGATGGTAAGTGTCCCAAGTGCTTTGGGAATTGATGCCATATGCATGATACTGAATAAGTGCTGCTGATGTCAGTATTATTTTAATTAATGGGAACTTAGCAAGAGCAGTATTTAAAGAATCTTCAAGATACGAGTACTATTGGCATGCTCCAAAAAGTCACTCACCCTATTTGTTTCTAAACTGGCTGGAAAAGAAAAACTACAGATGAGAAAGGTTTCCCACACAGTAGAGAGAACATCCTCAGTGCTTTCACTGGAGGCCCATCTCCTCAAAAAGCAAGTTCTGTTTTGGTCTTCACCCTTCAGTTCCTTCTGCCTTCCATTTCTCCTGCCTCTTACTTGGTCTTCAAAATATTTACTTCCAAGGATCCCCAAAAAGGGTGCTCTGAAGCACAAGTGAATGGTAGACTCAGAACTTCTTTCAAAGTATTTTAAGGGTAATGTAATCTTAATAAACCACTCTGAGAAAAGTATTAGTAAGTAGTAGCCCATCCCAGTACCATCTTCTCCTCTACTGGAGGCACCACTTCATGGAGATGTGTATGCAAGAGAGCTCTTGCCACTCTAAGGCATTCACAGAAGCTCACCATCATTTAGCTGCCTTTGGGAGCATTTGGAAAATATAAGCATACTAAAGGATATCATAGTGAAGGCAAACTAGTGAAATGGACAGTAAGGTGGACAAGCAGATGCACAGGGAGCAGCAGTGAAGTAGGGGTTCTTGAGAAGAACTTCTCTGAAATCAAGTATACCTTCGCATCCACGCTCAATCTGCCCACTGCGGTGCAGAGCATCATTGATTAGATCAGGCAGACGCCCATTCAAGTCCACAGAAGCTAGACAGCCCTGAAATCCATCACGTGATGCTACTAGCTTCGGAAGGTTGCTATACATGCCTTGAGCTAGGCCAGCAATGTAGAGATCACCTAGAGGAAAAGGAGTAAACATACAAGGAGGACGTTACATACATTTTAGAGTAGATTTTCCCCACACCTGATAGAAATATAGCAAGCTGAATAGATGCTCAGAAAAAGTTAAAAGCAGAGCAATATATTGCTCACAAAGTCATTTCTGACTACTTTCCTACTACAAAAAAACCCACAACAACAAAATATAAAAACAATAAAACCCACAAAAACAAACAAATAAAAAACACAACCAAACAAACAAATGAAACAGAACTTAAAAAAAGAATCCTAACTAGGAAAAACTGCAGCATGACAATTTCTGACAAAGCAAGATATGACAAACTATTCTGGTACATGAAGTTGCAGAGAAAGAGAAAAATGAATGTGAAATCCAAAACTGGCAAATTCCAGATTTACTGTTCTGTAATGCACAGTTCCTGCAAGCTTTCTCTTGTTTACTAGTTGAGCCCCACAAGAATAAAGGGGAAGGCTGTCAGTCATGTATAATTTACCTTTAAGATCCAGATTTTTGGCACCATTGATAACCTGAGTGACCATCTTGGTATCGACCTTTAGGCTGTGTGTGTTACTGTTATCTCTGGTGATGACAACGTTGTGCCATTGGTTGTCGTTAAGAGGACGATCACTATTGCCTTTGATAACATTAGGTCCGTTTCCAAGGTCAAACACATAGTGTATATACCTGTAAACATACCAAGAACTAGTTAAAACTGTGTAAGAACTCCAGTGCTCCTGGAGTGCCCTTATTCTGGCCAGAGTTGATAAATCAACTTATACAAGTCATGAAGGTAAGTGTTTTTGGGTTAGAAAGTTCTAATAAGCCAAAATATTAGCCACTGATTTGAAAAGATAATAGTTGTTTCCCTGCCACCAAGAAAGTATAAAGAGTAGTATCTTCAGATTACAACATTTGGATGAAATTAGAACCTAACAATAAAGGATTCCTCTTTTTTTATCGACACTCTCATGCACAAAACCCCTGTCTGTGCATATAATGATTTTTTAAAACTAGAAATACCAATGAATGTATTAGAGAGCAACTCTGGATATGCTTCTTTGGGGCATATATTCCCCATATTCATTCTTAGTTTTGAATAACTCCCTTAAGAAGATAATTGGGAAACTCACTCAATATATTGTAATAAAATTCACATGAGATCCTAGGCTTATTCAAACATTATTCTTTACAGTTCTAACACAGAAATCCACTTGACAATAGAAGAGATATAGTCTACTTGGGAAAAAAGACAACAAAATTCAACTCCCAATAGAGCACCAGGAGCTAGTGATTCTTGCTTTTTTATTACTCAATGTCCCACTTACAGAAATATGTGCAAAGTTAAAAATGAAAGAGATTAAACTCTATTTCACTTATGGTAAAATAAACAGGACTAGTAAACTCTCTTTGTGGAGACCATGCTTGCTCTGACCAGATGAATGGAAAGGATCAAAAATTGTTCAGCTAACGAAAGATTTATTTTTTTTTTTAAATAAGCTATTAGCCTTGTGAAAAGAGTATAGCAGCTCAAAAGCTGGCTGAGTTTGCTTTTCCTCGAGCATCACCAGCAGAAAAACAAATTCAGCAGCCCACATGCTCTTTTCTTCCTCTAGTAGAAATGGTAGAAATACAAGTCTCTTACAGGAAAGGTTAAAAAAAAAGAAAGTGGGAAGAGAGAGCCCTCAGCACATTTCCTCCTCCTCTGTGCTATTCTCCAAGGTTAACAGGACAAAACATTAGCCTAATTAGACCAAAACAACTTAAAGCATTAATGTTTCATGCTGTAAGAGTGTCTTTACCTCAGTGATGGGGGAAGTTGTTGATAAAATTAGGAGTGTTAAGCTTCAGTGTTTATTTCTAAGTACTCTGTCATACTCAATGTTCTCTCAGTTTGCTGAGGTGCATGAGATGAATTTCTCTCTGTGCAAACATTTTAAGCTTACCAATAACTGAGTTTATCTATAAATAAGCTGGTAGAATATAGCAGTCACTTACCCCTTGACTAGTTCAACTGCGATAAAGTCATTGCCATCACCACTGTTAAAGAGGATGAAACCATCAGCTGATGTTGTCTTAAACTGAAAGAAGAGGTGCATGGATGTATAAGCCTGCAAGGTGGCCAAGCTCAGGTAGCTGCTTTTAGTCTTGAACGTCACAGGGTCAGCTATGATGTTGCGGAGACCAAAGCGTGCCTTCAACTCGCAATAGTCAATGTCGCCATTCTTGCACAGGTCAATGTAGAGCATCCCATTGAACATGAGGCTCTGGAGGTGGCCGATGAAGCTGGAGGGGATAACAGAGATGTACCGTTTCTCTGTCATGATCCCTGTTTCGATGTTGTGGAACTCCAAGCGGGTGTGATCACCAACCATCGTGCCTGAAGGACATAAACAAGGGGGAACATGCAGAAAGCCCAGGGATCAGTAACAGCTTATATGAAGCCTTTCACCCTTCAGTTTCCAGGCTAATAGCAGCACTAACTTAATCCTGTCTGATCACAGTTCAGCAGCTTCCATAAGAAAGAATGTGTAGACTCTCAGTGAAGAGGCTTGAGTCTAGCAGTTGCCAAAATGTGACAGAAGAGAGGAGACAGGACTAAAGGGCCTTGGGTAGCAAGCTCTGTATTTTTCCCCTGTGTTTCACAGGCTTTCTTGTTTCTGAAGATGATTAGGTCTCTCCCTTAAAGACTACCCGCCTAAAACCTATTTGATCCAACAGTCCATCTGCCAAACCGCTCAGACACTTCTGAAACATCTCTTTGAAGTGCGCTTCCTGCAAACACTCAATAAAAATAGATTAATATAAAAAGAGTAGAGTGAGAAGCAAGAACATTTATAAACCTGCTAATATTTATTCCATTGTTCTCTCCTGGTGCCTGATGTTATTTCTCTTGTTTTAAAAGCAAGGCAGGAAGGAAACATACAAGAATGCAACAGGCGAAAAAGAACTCCACATACTCAAATCATCAGCCTACCACTTGGGCTATTTGTCACATTGTGATGGATTTTAACTCCTCAATTAAAATACTCAAGCTATTCAGTATACCAATATGTCAGACTACTCTTGAGGCGTATTTAAAATGTTTTGGCTTGCTAGGCATTAGTCCAGACACAAACCCACACAGACAGATGAAATACAACTGAAGACTAGTACAGAGACAAGTTGGGGCACATCAGAATTAAAACTATTACAAACAACCTTGGTTTAGTCATCTATAGCTCTTCATTAAAATAGCTTTAAGTATGTGGTCACACAACAGGAATAATATCAAATTAATGAGCTATTCAACATTTGTTTTCTCATCATTCAATGTACAAGCATTATTCAAACTCTGCCACAAATCTGCTGCTATTTCTTACTTCATGAAATTTTCTGCAGTGTTGTACTGAGTTTATGTGGTGAGGTGCTGGCTGCAGGGTGGCTGTGGGGCTGCCCCATAACGGACACAGCCGGTTTGAGCCAGCTCCAAACAACCCAACTCAGGGCAGGGCCAAGCCCTTCAGAGATGGTGATACCTCTGTGAAAGCATGTTTGTTTAAGAGAGGACAGAAAACACTGCCTGGAATGAGGAACAATGGGGAAAATAAATAAAAATAAACACACACCACAACAAAACAAACAACTACAAAACCTGCAAACACCAAGGTCAGAAAAGGATGAGGGAGAGGAGGTGCTCCAGGCATCAGAGTGGAAAGTCTCCAGCAGCCCATGGAGAAGACCACAGTGGAACAGACACTTGCACGGCAGCCCAGGGAGGGCCCCCACGCAGGGGCTATTTCCCATAAAGAACTGCAGTCAATGGAGAGCCCACACTGAAGCACGTTTTCCTGACAGCCTGTGGAGAGGTCCCATATTGGGGCACTTCATGGACTGCTGCCAATGGGAAGGACCCACACTGGAGCAGGTGAAGAGTGTAAGGAGGAAAGAGCAGCAGAGAGGAACTGTTACAGACTGCCCACAGCCACCATTCCCCTGCACCACTGTGCAGGGGGAAGTATAAGAGTCAGGAATGAAGGAGAAAACCTGAGAAAAAGAGGGAGTGGGGAAAGGTATTTTAATTTTTCTCCTTGTTTCTCAGCATCCAAATCTATTTTTAATTGGTAACAAATTAATTTTCCCCAAGTCAAGCCTGATTTGTCCACAACAGTAATTGGTAAGTGATTTCCCTATCTTTATCTTGAAAAATCAGCCTTCTCATTCTATTTTCTCCCCTGTCCTCTTGAGGAAAGGAAGTGAGAGAGCAGCTGCGTGGGTGTCTGGCAACCAGACACAGTGAACCCACAAGTTCAGCAGCATAGTGTGCAAATTATCCTCAAATATTCCCTTCTTCTACTCCCAGAGGAATATTACTCTTAATTTTATATACACAAAGCTGAGGAACAGAAAGATCAACATATAAATAGTTTTGGATCTCAAAAAAGAAACATTTGGCATCCAATTTAGTGGAATATTTAACAGTTTCAGAGCACTCACTGATTTTGAGGCTCAGCACTTCTAGAAACAAGACCCACAATCCCAAATGAGTACCTCCCAAGTGGATAAGGACAATTAGTGATCAACTGTGAAAGAACTGACTTTGAGTGACTTATTTAAGATAGAGAAGTCAATTCCATTGGACTGTATTCACATGCCTTACACAGAGGTCCCGTTCCTCTTTTTTACCATGCTATGTCTTTTAAAAGGGGATCTTATAACCACATTATTCCCAACTCAGCTCTCATAATCACGTACAAGGTGCAATTTTTCAGTTTATGTGTTGTCCAAATGTGATCAAATTTTTGCAAGGGCAACAAAACTGAGCACAGATATTAGGAAAAAAAATGCTTTCAAGTAGCTATTCTAAACACAAAAATATTATGCACAGCAATTAATTTTTTCACTTATTCCCAATTTTAGCAGTGTATAATTGTCTTTCAGTTTAGAGCCAAAGACCATTGCCATGGAAAGCTTCAACCCAAGCAGATACAGCTGGACAAACTTAGAAGCAGCTGAAAAGAGTCACATATTTCTGACTATTCAGAAATTCGAGTGTCAGTACCAATGCAAGTGTTTTTAAATGCTAAAACAGTTATTTACCAGAAATAATAATATTTTAGTTTGAAAAATGTCAGATCACAGTAACAGAAACTGTATATGGGCAGGTTTGTTTAGATAAACCATCTCACTCCCACTGCTGTGATTGTTAGGGGCTATTTCAGATTTAGTGTTATAAAATGACATTTTCTGACTTTTCCAAACCATGCTGTATTTCCTTACATTAAAATTAAACAAAACCCAAAACAAAATAAAACTTAAAAAAAACTTCTCTCTTCTTCACTTCAAAAGATTGGAAAAATAAAATTTATAGATCTGAAGGACTAAAACTAAGAAAACTCTTCTCATCTCTTCTACTTTTAGATAAATTCAAAGAGGTTGTTGCCAGACTTGGAGAGAAAAGCCAGGCTTGTGAAATCTGGAGTACACTGTAACAGGGAACTCAGCTGTAGAGGGCAGTACAAACGGAGTGCAGAAGGTTGGAAGAGGTGAACCCAGAATTTTAGAAAAGATGAAAAATGACAAAACTGGGACCAGCTTATGGGATGGTGATAGCAGTGGTAGTGCAGAAATTTAGGACTAGTTCAGAGAAAAGCTGAAAAGGAAGTGACACTACAAGACCAGAATCAGTACGTATATATATTTTCCTAAGAAATCATGGAGAGAAATCAAGTATTACTTTTTATCTCATTAGCTGTCAGCCCCACCTGCAGAATTCACCTCTAATTTCTCCACTGTGCTGTCTATGAAGTATTATAATTACTACAGCAATCAGCAGCTCTTTAGTTCATGTGGTAGCAGACAAAAAAATTCCAGCCTCCACAGCAGTATTTAGGTGCTAGCAAGATGTTGTGGGGATGAAAGTAACTGCTATATTTGTGTGTCATTTATCACTGGCCTTCTCAGGTCTGTACTGAGGCAGGGGGAATGTGGCAGGAAGGTTTTGTGATTCAGCAGCAAAATGCTGTCCAGGGGAATTGGATTCTGTCTCTTCCTTAGATGTCCTGCAGGAAGCCAAGCCAGTCACTTCATTAAAAATTTTTCATAGGTGGCCATTAATTGTCTAAACCTAATTCTCCAAGAAGCAGGGTTGATCTAATTTGCAGGATCCAATTTACAGACACTCTGTATATTTGTGCATGCAAATGACTGAAAACCCATGCCAAACTGGCACAAAATACATCCAGCTTTAATCTGGTGCCTTGTTTCTAAACCTGTAAAATATTAAAAAGATGCCTGTTCACTTCATATAACACAGACATGGGAATAAATTCAGTTACAGCTTCTTAGTTCTGTATAAACATCCTCACCAGTCGCACACAACACATAAACAAATAAATTGAAAAAAAAAAAAAACCAAGAAAACCAACCCACAAACAAAAAAAAACCACCAAAACAACAACAAGAAAAAAAAAACCTAACTGCTTTATAATTCAAGCAAAATGTAGCTGCCATGCATTGTTCTAAACAAGCAATAGGAAAGAAGGTGGCGGTCAAATAGGCTGTTTATTTTTACTGGGGGCCTAATTTAGACTTCTGATCTATGCCTAAGACAGCAAGGATCCTGTGGAAAAATCTATGTGACCACATCGTTGAAGACTGTATCATCTACCCAAGGAAGCAGTATGCAGATTGCACAGGAAGTCTTAACTCTGGCTTTTCTGACTTTTGACTTTGCCATGATGACATTCTTGTAACAGATATTTTTAGCTGTAATGCATCCTTAATTATGTAATTCATATACATGTACATATGCACATCCTATTTTAGTATAGGATTGTATCATTATTATTTATAAACTCCGTTCCACCAAAAAAACTCAAAACCAGAAGGCTTCAAAGGGGATTGAGTGCCACCTCATGGTGCTTGCTAAAAAAGCACATCCAAAAGAATTATTCTTAAATGCAGAAATAATTGGCATGAAGCATTTACCAGCATTTTTCACTAATTCATAAAGTTCCCTCTTAAATAAAATGTACATAATAGGATATAGTATTCAGGCAATCCCTATGGCAGCTGTTACTTTTAGTTGCCTTCTGAGAAGCTACTCAGAAGACAGAATGTCAGCATTCGGGTCACAACTTAAATGAACATACCTGTATCAGTGTGGCATCAAGGGTTATTCTTTGTGATTCTATTATCAGCCTTCAGACTGCTTTTGTTTTCCTTAAAAACTCAGTTCCTACAGTTATATACAGCTATGAGAACTACAGACCTTCAGAAAAAGAAAAATAACTTCCTGGCTCTGGCAGCTATGGGGAAACAGACCAGAAAAAGTATCACCTCAAAAATTTTGAGGTTAAAAAAAGACCACTCTGAAGTACCTTGATCATTTCAATGCAAATCTCATAACCTGTGAGAAACCAGCTTTCCCGAGTGATTGATCTTTTATTCACTCCTTCAACAACATTTCTCTACAAAAGGAAGCAGGAGCTCAAAAAGCTGCTCAACAAAAAAAAAAAAAAAAAGCAAAAAAACCCCACCAACAGACAAAACAAAAAAAAACAAAAACAAAAAAAGGACTGCCACACTGTATGAGTCAGGGGCCTCCCTAACTCCTAGCACAAAGTTGGGAACAAACTGCTCTTACTCCTGCAGCTAAGGAGTAAGGTATACTCACAGCGCACACCAAAAGAAGTCTGGCACAAGAAAGAGTACTGCTTAGCTCCTCTGCATTCTCGGGAATGTGCAAGTTCCTCTGTCCCCTAATCCTGTATTTCGTGTTGTTGTTACAGAGATTTCAGGTGCTGGCAAAGAACAACTAGCATCTCAGAACTGAACATTAGTTTTTAACATAGTATTACTAAATATACAAGAATTAAAGGAAGAGAGGGAGGGGGAAGGAGAAATACACACAAGAACAGAGAGAATGGGTCTAACAGCAGAAAAGAGGCTGGGAACAGAGATGCAAAAATAACAACCAAAAAACACACCACACTTACCCTCAGCTACATCATCATCCACCATCAGCTTGAGGCTCTTTCCTCGTCGAACTACCCGGACAGTGTGCCACTCGTTGTCATTGAGCTTCTGCCCAGCATAAAGAGTTTCAGGTCCCTTGCCTGGGGATGGTGATAGGCACGACAGTTAAAGCCAGACCCCCAATTAGTTTAATCTTTACTCAACGGGAAAAGTCACCAAAATCAACCTGGTGTCCTATTGTGAAATAGATTGTGTAGTGTACCTGTAACCAGTCCTCACACACCTACACCTTCCAAGCCCAGAGAGAGTCAGGGTCACAAATCCTTCCACTCTGTGAAGTGCTTTCCTCCACAGACTCCAGAGGTCACATGCATTTGAAACAAGGGTAGAAATCTCTCTTGTGCTACGGTACTCATTTCCAAACACCCATTGTACAGGGCACTGCAGTACTAGAAAAGCAAGCTGGTGACTGAAATGTCTCTAGAGTGGAGGCATTACAGAAGAATTTTGCTCTCCTATGACTGCGGATTTACAACAGCCCCAGGGTGCTTGGGGCTGTTTTCGAAGTTAATCATATTGCTGCCTCAACACTGAGGTATCAAACACCAGATTGGTTTCAGTCTTTCAGTCTCAAAAAAAAAAAAAAAATAAACCAAACCAAACCAAAAAAATACCCCACCCAAAACCAAAACAACCAACCAACCAACCACTCCCTCCCATAAATCCTCAAACCCTACCCCTCCAAAAAAACCCTGTAATTAAAAAAAAAAAAAAAGATTTTAAACCACTGAAAAGATAACCAATCACCAACCAGGCTGATTGCTCTAAGGTTCTTTAGCAAAGGAGACTGGCTTACTTTACCCACTGACTTACATGCCAAAAAGGAAAGAGAAGCCCTTCTCCAAAAGGTAAAAACACAGTTGCCCTTGCAAACAATGCTCCTGGAAAAACAGAATTGTGCTACCCGTATTTGTCCAGTATTGCTGCTTACCCATCACAGCTGACAAGCAATTACTTAAAGCATTAATTGTTCAAATTACAGGACTGGACCACCTCACTCGTGTCAAATGGTAAGTGAAATTGAATGATGGTGTGTGCTAAATTAAAAGCGTCTATGCTCATTTCAGTACAGTACTAGAGTGTTTTTTGACAGAGACGTATCAGAGGAATGCAGAATGAGGACAGCAGAACTTGCTGCATATCGGGTCTGGGCCCATTGCCCAAACTGGCAAAAGGGGAACCCAAGAAAGAAAAAGCAAGACACACTGTAGACAGGACAGAAACAAGGGGGCACTGCTACAGCTCTGTATACTGCACTGAGGTTAAACTAATATCAGTTTCAATAACATCAGACGTGCCAATTATTTCTCTGGGTTTTTTTTCCACACAAGCAAATTAATGTTTTTATTCAGATAGCCCAAGAACAGCATTTATTTTGACTGGTTTTTACTGGTTACGTAATACAAAATAAAATGTACATGTCTTCAAATGAAACTCTATACAAGGGGATGCACCCACCCCGATTCGTGTCATGGTGTGGACTAGCAAGTAAGAGTAGCATATTCCAGAGTGAGACAGAAGTGAAGGACTGGGTAGGAAAAATGTCCAGGGACTTTACATAGCCCACAGTATACACACTGCCTAATTAGCAACATCACCTTAACCGCTTCTTACTGAGGGTGGGACATGGACAAAGAAGGTGGCGCCTCACTCAGCTAGGATATAACGGGTCTAGTAAGAGAATCCTATGGAAGGAGACCAAAGCAAAATGAATTCTTTTATTCTCCTTGGAGGATCATGTAGCTCATGTCATAAAAAACAAGTTTAATACCCCTCCAAACAAAGCACATTGCTAACCAATTTTATCACAGAGCAAGAAGAAAAAAAATGTTTTTTCTACAATGACCCAAAAAATAAAAGTTTTTCATGGATTAAAAGAATAGGGAGTAATATATTGCAATTACAGAGAATATCTCCTTAACAGGAGAAACCCATAACCTCTGCAGTTCCTCACTCATGTTCTGAAGTCACGCTGTACCACGAACATAAATCCAGATGTACAAAGTAGCCAGATCACGGCCAAAAAGCTTAAGTTCTTTGGAGCCAGACAAGCAAAACTCTAATAAATAGAGTCCAGGAAAGTTATGCTAAATTTACATCAGTGAGTGCATGCCAGCACGTTACAAAATGATGTCTCTGGATGGCCAGCAAAATTATTGCCTACCTCAAAATATACTGCACCAGCTACAATAGTTCCACACAGCCACTTCCCAGGTAGGAAGATAAAGGAGTTCATCTGGACCAGTGTGTTTTCTATAATGCCAGCAATTGCTGGCTTTTTAGTTCCCACTTTTCAACCCTAGCCTGACAAAATAGGGGTTAGTCAAATCGAGGGGAATTGGCTTGCCATTGCTATCTTGATGCCCACTGTAACATTTTTAAAACAAAACTGTGACACCAACAGAAGTTATACAACTAGATCCTCAGAAAATGTAACTTAACCAGTTCACAAATAAACAAGTAAAAAATTTCAGCTTTCCAACTTCTTTTTCCAAATGAATAGGTTGTCTACAAATGAGATTCCTGTTTAAAAGTAACTGGTCAATAGTTTGGGCTAATAAACTTGAAAAACAAGCACTGCAGATGAAAACTATTTCATGTTATTTAAGTCCATTCTTGATCAGCCAATTTAATATTTGATCAGAAAAAAAAATAAAAATTAAGAGTTTTTAATACTTTTGTTCTCTCTCAAACCTCTGTTTTGTATCCAATGGGAACTAGCTTCTTTTGGTACTGCTACCTAAGTAACACTACATACAAAATTCAATACATGAGCACGCTCAAGAGCATGTGGGTAAGTTTAAACCAAAGATATTTGAATTTAAAAAAAAAGTGTTAACCAAACATTATTTTACTCTATTTAACTGTTTTCAAATGCTTTCAAGATATTTATGCAGCAGGTGGGTTGATCTGAAAAGCAGCAAAATTGTGCCTCCATTTTCCAGCTGATAGTGTGCAAATGAATTGCTGCTCCCTATGTAAGCTCCCACTGAATTCTGAGTGGTTCCAGGAACTCCTGCATCTGGATGACAATCTTTAGTTCATTGAGCATGCTTGCTATATGTGCTGGTATTATGTAGACATTAATGTTTGATCAGACTTTTAAAATATGTGTTGAAGATTCTTAATCCAACAGTTGTAGAGGCTAAGGGAAACAGAGAGTGGGCAACATGTAGCAGAGGGATAATGCTTTCCCTAAGTACTGTCTCCTTCCCACCCAGTAAGCCATTTCTGTGGTCTTACAGCTAAACACTCAGAACCAAGTGTTTAAATTAAGGCTGGTGGGTTTTTGTAGTTTTGTGAGTATGGGGTTTATTTTTTCCTCTCAAGCTATCAGCACCTACAACACTCTTCAACTAGAATAATGCAGATGTAGGGGGAAATCAAAGGAAAAGATTCACCTGACAGAGAAAAAAAGTCAAAAGACTTACATCCTCCCTTTGTGCAACAGTCTTTTATGATAAAAGATTCCTGCAGCAATGCTACGAGCTGGATGCCTAGGAATACTTTGTAATACTTTTGATGAGATGGCACTTGGGCATTAGGTAATTTCTGCAATTTATTTATTTTTTTATGCATAACAAAAGACAGCCTAACAGGAAAAAATAAGAAAGTTTCTAGTGTACAAATAATAGTAAAGCTGCTAGAGCATCACCTCTGTTGGGGTTTCTAGCCTTCTTGGTCATTCTACTCCCCTTCTTAATGCCCTCTAAGGAACTGTATAAATCATATAGAATTGATCACTACCTCTCATTTTCAAACTCAAATGAGGCAGACTAGTTCATATTCCTTTGGTGCTTTGCAGTGGCAAACACTACTTAAACAGAAGCAAAAATACCTCTCAGGCATCCCCATGTTCTGGACATAGTTCAACTGCAGTCCAGGCTTCTTGAGCTAATATTACTTAATTCAGCTGCAGAGACTCTTCCTTACCTCCCCATGAGTCCTTTGACATCTATTCAAAACTTGTGTGTATCTTGTTCAGATACCAATTAGTATATGCTTTCAAACGTAGAAGAACTACATCCAATCTGCCCAGGGTGTCCCAGTCATCACCTCTATATCAAAGGTGCACTGCTGCTAATTAATATCTTGGCCCTAATAGACTATATAAAAATGCCAAGACTAGACATGCCAAAGTATAAAGAATCAAAAAGCAGTTCATGCCTTCTAAAAATGCCAAGTTGCTTTCCATCTGGCCCTCAAGAATTCACTCATTTAGAACAAACAACTGGTCAGAGGGATGCAGTTAAAACAACAGCTCTGGAAACACCAGCTGCTACCCTCTCTCAGCAGTTAACAGCACACAGAATTTCCTTCCTATGAAATGCAAAGGAGAAAGAGGGTTAATCTCCTCAGCAGTTCCTCACAGGTGGATCAAAACCTGTGCTTTTACCCTTCATGCAGACTGTCATTATCTGATCCATTTATATGATTAAAATAACCTTAATAAAACCAGGCTATCTTCATTACTGCATATCTTATCCAACATTATGGAACAGGTCCAACATTCAAGTCTACAGAACAGCAGAAGAGACAACCAGAAAGGACATTTCCAGATTGATGAGAATGGAAAAAGCTCTTCTCTCATTGCAATTACAATGAAAAATAATTCTACAGTGATATACTAATGCTTTTTAGAGAAGACCCTCAGTAGCAATAAAAAGGTTTTATCTGCTTTTTTTTTTTTTTCAATTAAAATGCTCAGCTACCATCTCAGCTTTCTTCAGTGGCAAGATGGATTTTTGTGTCTGTCTCAAACAGGGCAACATCCCCCAGGAATGCCACTAGCATCTCAAGACAGAGACAGGCTGGGAAGGAAAAGGTTCTTTACCTTTTTTTAGGGTAGGGTGGGAAGAGGACTTAGTTATTTTTACTTATACCTTTACATAATGACCAGAGAAGTTATGATTCACTATGAAAAAAAGTGTGCACACAAATTTGTGAAACATGAGAACAAATGATGAGACAAGGTGGACAGATTCTCTCAAAGCTTACAAGAAACTGATCTACTCCATTTAGACATTATTCAGTGATTCTTTAAAGAATATTCAGATGTGACTAGTGCAGCTGTAGAGTG